AGATAAAGAGAAAACTGCATTATCAATAATCAAGCGTGGATTTTTTAAAATAAATAATAAAAAAAATCATTGGATAAATTCGTTATTTATATATTACCTGGTATTTAAAAAAAATAAATAATAAATTATTTAAAGTAGTTTTATTTGATGGTATAAAAAAATCTTGGCACATATTGCCACATATTTTAGCACGTATTTTGGCGCATATGGGATAAATTAAATTCGGCCCATTTATATTACTAATATCTTTAAATCTTTTTAAATAAAAAAATTTTTTTTATCTAACCTATTTAATTCAAGTCTACGGAATCAAAAATCGGTACAAATTTAAAGGGTTTAGTGGGTGGTAACAGGTGACAGTATGTACATCAAACACGTCCATTATCGTTATGACAAACTGAGCTTTTCTTACTCGCATAAATTAATAATATATTTACTATATATGCAAGTATTGGACACGTGATCTTATCAATTGAATATATTACACATCAAAAGGAAATGTAATTAAGGTTGTACCGTCAAATTTTCAAAAAAAAAAAAAAATTTATTAAAAATATATTAAAATTACGATAAATTCCCTTTAAGCTCATATTTATTAATTTTATCGGAGATAATTTATTTTAGTTTACACATAATATTATTAGTTTACACATAATATATATATATATGTATTCATAATGTATAATTATATAGTTTGAATCGATGTTTCAAGCGGTTACCAGATTATCGAGTGTAACAATAATGTACCAAAAGCATTATGGTTTTCTTATCTCCCTGTAAACGTGTGTTCTGTGTTATCATTATTATTTTGCAGCTATATATAAATGCGATTAGCTTTGGCTTCTGAATGTAAAAAAAAAAAAAAAAAATTTTTATATCCGATTTTAATGCTCTGCTAAAAGTTGTTCTTCCCTCTTTGGTTTAACTCACCTTGAAGGGTTTTCTCTTTTCGCATTCCTCTGATCAAGGGGTTTTGTTTTAATTAATTTTACTTTACAACAATCCCTCTTTAGTGTTTTTTTTTTTCCTTTTTTTTTTTTTTTTTATTCTAATTAATACATCATTCATAGAACTTAATTTCCCAAATTTTATTTTTTTAGTGTAAATTTTGTAATTTTTTTTTTTTATTCACACATAGACTGTAAAAAAAAACTTATTTTTACGTACCTAATGTCCGAAATTACTGAAGAAAAGATTGTTATCGTCGAAGAAGCTAGTAGTACTAGCAATGTTACAAATGAAAAGCCTGCCGAGCTGATAGAACATAAGCATGTTGAAAATGTTGAAGAACTTTCACCAGAGTTAGAGGAGATGATCAAAACTGATCCTAGTAAAGGTTTAACAACTGAAGAAGCTAAAAACCGATTAGAAATATTTGGTCGTAATGAACTTGCTGAAGTTAAAACAAATCCTTTCCTAAAGTTTTTGTCTTATTTCACCGGCGCTATTGCTTACCTGATTGAATTAGCTGGCATATTTGCTGCTGTTGTCCAAGATTGGGTAGGTAACACTTCTATATTAGGTTTCTCATTTCACCAATATATTACAAATTAGGTAATGCTATTTGTGCTACCTATTTTTGTGTTGGTGAAATGAGTTACCTCGGATTTATTGTCGGAGATATGATTGATCTAATTTTTTATTTTATTTTTATTTATAATAATATATATATATAATAATATATATACTAAAAATATACAATTAATAATTAATAACAAATTTGTTAATATTTTCATTATTATTGTTTATTATTATTATTATTATTATTATTATTATTATTATTATTATTATTATTTCATTATTATTGTTTAGCTTGACTTTGGTGTTATTGTGGCTTTACTTATTGTAAATGCTTTCATCGGTTTCATTGAAGAGGCTCGTGCCGAAAATGCTTTGGACGCTTTGAAACAAACTCTTGCCTTAAAAGCTAAAGTTTGGCGTGATGGTCAATTCGTTGAAATTGATACTGCTGAATTAGTCCCTGGTGACGTCATTGGTCTTCGTCTTGGTGACATCGTTCCTGCTGATGCTCGTTTACTTGGTCTCTCAGTAACTGGTAATGAAACTGATGCTCATCTTTCAATTGATCAATCTGCTTTGACTGGTGAATCTCTACCTGTGGAAAAAGGAAAAGGTGCTACCGTTTACTCTTCTTCTATAGTAAAACAAGGTCAAATGTTGGCTGTTGTTACAAAAACTGGTGGTGATACTTTTGTCGGTCGTGCTGCCAATTTAATTTCTATCACTGTTGAACAAGGACATTTTCAAAAAATTGTTAATGCTATCGGAAACTTTTTAATTTTAATTACTGTTGTATTGGTCGGAATTATCTTTATTTATCAAATGGTTATGTTCCGTGGAACTACAAACGGTAACTTCCTTGTGGTTATTGGTAAATGCTTGGTCCTTACTATCGCCGCTATTCCTGTTGGTCTTCCAACTGTATTATCTGTTACTATGGCTGTAGGTGCTAAACAACTTGCCGCTAAAAAAGTTATCGTTAAACGTCTTACTGCTGTTGAAGAAATGGCTTCCGTTTCTGTTCTTTGCTCTGATAAGACTGGTACTTTAACTCTTAATGAACTTACCTTTGATGAACCTTATTTATCCGGTGATTATACAAAAGAAGATATTTTACTTTATTCTTACCTTTCTGCTGAACCTGGTGCTAATGATCCTATTGAGAGTGCCGTTCGTACTGCTGCTGAAGAGTCACTTGAAATTCTTAAAAATCGGCAAAATAAACATGAAATTCCTGGATATAAAGTTACCGCTTTTGTTCCTTTCAATCCTACTACAAAGATGACTAACGCTACTGTCGTTAACCTTGAAGATAATACTGTATTTAAAGTGGCTAAAGGTGCTCCTCAAGTCATAATTAAATTAGTTGGTGGTCATGATGAAGCTGTCCATGCTGTTAATTCTTTGGCTGCCCGTGGTCTTCGTGCTCTTGGTGTCGCTCGTACTACTGGTGATAATGATAATTATGAAATGGTCGGTATGATTTCTCTTCTCGATCCTCCTCGACCTGACTCTGGTGAAACTATTCGACGTTGTAATGCTTATGGTGTTGATGTTAAAATGATTACTGGTGATCAATTAATTATTGCAAAAGAAGTCGCTCAGAGACTTGGAATGAATCGTGTAATTCTTGACGCTAATCATTTAGTTGATCCTGATAAGTCCGAAGAAGAAGTTACTGCGCATTGTAAACGTGCTGATGGTTTTGCTCAAGTTATTCCTGAACATAAATATCGTGTCGTTGAGTTATTACAAAAGACTGGTCTTCTTGTTGGTATGACTGGCGATGGTGTTAATGATGCTCCTGCTTTAAAGAAAGCTAATGTTGGTATCGCTGTACATGGATGTACTGATGCCGCCCGTTCAGCTGCTGATATTGTATTATTAGCTCCTGGTCTTTCTACTATTGTTGACGGTATCATGACTTCACGTGCTATTTTCCAACGTATGAGGTCTTACTCCCTTTATCGTATCACTTCCACCGTACACTTTTTAATGTTCTTCTTCTGTATTATCCTTGCTGAAAATTGGGAAATGAGAACCATTCTTTTAATCTTAATTACCCTATTAAACGATGCTGCCACCCTTGTTATTTCCGTCGATAATACAAAGATTTCCCAAAGACCTGATAAATGGCGTCTTGGACAATTGATCACTTTATCAATAGTTTTAGGTATCTTTTTGACTGCTGCATCATTCGCCCACTTTTACATAGCACATTTTGTATTCGGTATTCCAAAGGATCCTAATGATCCAGATAAAAGAATGGAAACTATTATGTATCTTCACATTTCATCATGCCCACATTTCGTAATCTTTTCTACTCGTCTTTCTGGATTTTTCTGGGAAAACTTTCCTTCACCAACTTTCTTTATTGCCGTTATGGGAACTCAAATTTTTGCTATGTTTATTTCTATCTATGGTCTTCTTACACCAGCAATTGGTTGGGCTTGGGGAGTTTCTATTATTGGAGTCTCACTTGCCTATTTCGTAGTCTTAGATCTTGTCAAAGTTATAATATTTAGATATTGGTCATTTGAATTTACTGCTAAAGTATGTCCAACACCTGCACGAAAACAAAAATTAGTAGCTCGTAAAGAACAAAAAGTTTTTGATGAAAAAGTAGCTCACAGTGTTGCAAAAGTGAGAAAAGTTGTACTTATGTCAAAGGTTATATTAGCATTTAGGTCTTTAGCGAGTAAATCGAAAACAATTAAGGCATAGATTTAAAAAAAAAAATTTCATTGCATACACATTTTTTTTTCCTTTTTTCTTATAGTTCATTTAATCTTTTATTATTATTTACTTGCAAAAATCATAAATGTATATTCAATTGATTAATTTGATTAATTTGATTAATTAGTTGTTTTTCTGAACTTGTAAATTTTAAACATTAAAAAAAAAAAAAAAACAAATAAGTAAAAACAAAAAAAAAAAAAAGAAGGAAGTTCCTACATATGCATGTATCTGGGTATTTTCATATTTCGGGTAGGGATTATTTCAGTGAATGTAAAATTTGTTGGTTTTTCAAGTATTTTTCTCTTTTTTTAAAAAAAACAAAAACAAAAACAAAATTATAATAGTAATAATAACGAATAATAAAATTACATTTTTTAACAATTTAAGAAATTTGTGTATGTAATACTTTTAAAGTTATCATAGTGTTAGTTTTATCTATTTCCTAAACGGTTATATTTTCTATTTGTTATTGTTAATATCGGCATAAATAAAATATGTATGAGTGGTTAAATGTTTGTTTATTGGTCGCGTTTTTTTATTTATCTTTTTTTTTTTTTTAGAGAATATTCTATTTTCATAATATTCTTTCGTTGAAAATTATAATTATATGTTATATTTCTATTGAAATTTACAGATGCTATTAAGTAAAATCAGATAAATTGATTACATGTTATATAATTCCTATTAAATAACTAACCACGTTAAAATATACTATATAAATTATTTTACAAAACACCAACTTACAAAAATAGCTCTTGAATTTCTTCAAGTGACTTTCCCGCTGTTTCAGGTACCATGAGATAAACAAATAACCAACCAATAATCATAAATACACCATACATCCAAAATGTTCCTTTTGTTGAAATAAAAGTGGAAATAAATGTTAGATTATATTGTGACGCGTATATATAATAAATATAGTAAATACAGTAATTATTTTTATATTTAGATGCTGAATAGCGAAACCTATAAGTAAATCTAAGTTTTCAATGTATCAGACTTGTTTCATAAGAATTGTGGCATTACGCAATTAAGCACATATACGATCAGTGTTCTGATAGTTTCGATAGTGTGTAACTTTGTAGTATGCACAAACGTATGTACAAGTATTTCACTACATACTGACACAATTCTTCATGGATTAAGTTCGATACAGTAGAACTTTAATTTGTACATACAGGCTTTCGTTTTGCAGCACTCATTTGTCAAGATTACCTGAGATTGTTATTAATTCAGTTAATGGCAAGAATGTGATTGCAACGACTAAATTTACACACCAATTTGTCGCTAGCATATTTAAATAAGAGAATTTTATAAAAATTAAACCATAGATTATAAATTAATTGTTAACACACTAAAAAGAAAAACGGATGATCGTATTTTTTTACCTGTAGCAATTCCATTGGCTCTACCGCGTACATTTAAAGGAAATATTTCGCTTTGTATTGTCCATGGAGCATGCCCAATTCCTAACGCATATGCTAAAAAAAACAATACAATTATTGTCACATTCATGACAATATTTAATATGATATATTAAATATGATAATATAACATACCAGCTACAAAAACTACCAATGATGATAATGTAAACCAATTTCCTCCAAGACTCGCTGAAGGACAAGCACTGTACAATTGATCTGAAGGAACCGAAGACTTATCCACACAAAAATCATTTAATTTACTAAATCCACATCTATCATCAATCAAACAAGCACCACATCTTGTTCCATAATCAGTACAAGTATTTTGTTTTGTCGTTAAACCAGTTACGAAAACAAAACCTATACCAAGAAGAGTTAAACCAATTACAGTTCCAATTAGAGTGGATAAAAGTATACGACGTCTACCAACGCGATCAATTATATATAAAGCGACAACTATTATTGAAATGCATATATATATCATAAGTATTTATAAATTTACTAATGAATTAATAATTTGACGTACCTGTCATGGCAAAATTAGTTGCAGACACAAGGATAGAAAATACTATGGCATCTCTGATTTCAGTAAATCCAGCCATTTTCATTATAGTAGCCTGTGTAAAAATTTCCAAGTAAAATATTATTAAACTAAAATATTAAATTATTTATATTTCAAAATTATTTTGACAATACTTGCACCATAATACATAGCCGTATCGAAACCTGATATTTGTTGGAACAATTGAAGTCCACATGCAATAATAAGTGGTCTTAAATTCGGGTAAAAAAATAATTGTTTATATGATCCTGCGGCATCTTCTTCAATTGTCTGACAGATTACTTCAATTTCTGGAAATAAATATAAGCAATCATTTGTAAATGATATATATATATATATATATATATATATATTTATAAGAAACAAATGAAGAAGTTCCATCTACCATCATTTAAAAATTCTGGAGGAGCATTAGGGTATATCTTTGCTAAAATTTTTTTTGCCTCCGCATTTTTTCCTTTACGCACAAGAAATCTTGGACTTTCAGGAACAAATGGCATAACTATATCAAAATATAACATTTGAAATATAATATTAATAGAAATATTGAAATATATTGAAAGTGATAAGTATTAATATGAATTCAACATACGTAAAAGTTGTAGAAACGGAGGAATTATTGAAACTCCAAACATCCATCGCCAACCATGTTGAAATATAAACCCAGTAGCAACCAAATAAGAAACTAATTGTCCACCAGTACACATTAAAACGTTTATTGTAACTAATCGACCTCGATGCAATCTTGGAGAAATTTCACTTATATAAATTGGAACTACCATTGATGCTAAACCAACAGCAATTCCAACCACCAACCTTCCTATTAATAAAGTAGCATATGAATGTGCTAATGATAATAATAATGCTCCACAAATAAACAACGTTGCAGCAATCACTGTTGTAATGCGTCTTCCGGCAAGATCAGATAATCCACCTATTAAATAATATGGTAATATGGAGATCAATATAAATTAATACACAAATAAAATATAATAAACCTATCTACTCACCAGCAAAAACACTACCAAAAATTGCACCAAACGTCGTAGCTAAAAAATATTTCAAACGAATGTGAATAAAAATAAAAATTATAAAATATATACCAAAAATGATAATTCTCTTTATAAACCTCCAACAACAAGTCCTTTAGTAATAGAAGTCAAAGGAAAATCTTTCTCCAATAGTAACATGGCACTACTAATAATTCCGGTATCATATCTATATATAATGTAATGGGAAATTATTAGATGACAACTAATTAAAATTAAGAATTGTCATTAAGAACAAATATATTTGTATATGTATATACTTATTTACCCAAACATGAAACCACATACAGCTACGGTAAAAGCCGTAAAGAATACAAATGGAGCAATTCCACTATCACTTTCAAAATCTCTTAACTTCACATCATTAGAATCATATCTGTTGGGGCCATCTTTTGAACGGTTTGTAAATTCATCAAGTTTATCTTCTTCCATTAAAGATTGGTAGGCTAAAAATTTTTTTAATAAATAAAAATCGATATCATCAATTATTAATAAATACGATACCGATATTTGAATGCAACCTGTTCATCTACTTGATCATTATTATGTGGATAAATGAACATGATGACGACATCTCAATCGCATTCCCTAAAAATAACATTTACGTAATATAGACATTTATGTACAGTACGTACCTATACCGCCTCTCGAAGACCCACCCATTTTTATAAAATTAGTTATTATATTTTGATAATGTTTTCATATGATGATATTTAATTTTGGTAAAAATTTTTAATTATACAACCGAAATTTCGTAACAAACGAAAAATTGCAAATTAACAGAAAAAAAAAGGTAACTATTACTGTACATACATGTAATCTATGTTTCACAATGTAAATGATTTCCTCTTAAAAATCGTTATTTGTATTTGTCTTTAGTTACGTAGATATTATTGGATTAAACAATTTCTCAACTATATATTAATACAAATCTTAGTGTTGGATACTCAATGGTCCCTCAATGGTATCTCGATGGTCTCTCAATAGTCTCTCAATTAGTTAATATGTACATACGAACGTTGCTTTCGATATAAAACGTATATTTTCAAAATTTCCGTTGCATCGAGACTTTATTAATAAATCTGTTGATTGGAATATTGATCAATTTAATTATAGTCAGAGCTCACGTTGGTCCTTCAAATTTAATATCATAGATATATTTAATTGAAACATTTAATGAAATAATGGATTCAAGGTAAAATGTGGTTAGAATGCCTGAAAAAGGAAAACTATATCAAAAAGAAAAAGAAGAAACAAAAATTCTGGAGTGAACACACTAAAAATACCTTGTATAGTTACCTGTCATCTTTAAAAATAGAATATATATAAATACGAAAAGTCATGGTTTCTATTAGAAAATACGCACACGCTTCGATTTTTGTCAAGAAATTTTTTTAAATGACAAAAAACAAAGTTGTCGAAATTTCCCAAAAAGGCTATGTATTGAAACTGTTAAAAAATAGTAAGACCAAAATATCTTAAAACTATATAAGTATGTTTAAAACCAATAAACTATTAAATTATAATGTTAAATTATTAAATTTTCGTTATTAATTAAAAAGATCAAGTTTTCAGTGCTAACTTTTTTAAATTTAAATCTTTATAAAGTAACAAATAAAATTTTATATTTTAATATATAAAAATTATTATTAAAACTTTTATTATTATCATCGTTATAGTAAATCTACATACTGCATATATGTCTATAAAATTTGGTTAACTCATGCTTTTAGCAGACCTTAATTTTTAGGGCAGGTGTACCTTCAAGCGAGATTCTAACTGCGTTTACAATATGGATTTTATCCTGTTTAAACTGGTTGGTTCGTACTTTAAAAACTATATATATATCGTGTTTTAAATTGTTTATACAAATGTACTAGTAATATGTTAACTTAAAAATCTGCTATATATAAATTCATATTAATGTATTTATTACGTTTACGTATTCATTTGCATTTTATATTTATTATTACATTTATTATCGCTAGTAATCTTGTGATCTGTACGATCAAACAGTTTCGTGCCATCTGTGCAAGTCCATTATGGCATATATGTTTGCTGGCCGTGAGAAATAAAAATAAAAAAGCTATATATGTATTATAACATTTGTAAATGCTTCTAACGAATAGTTACGCAATTAACTTCCAATTAGTAAGCCATTACATTTTTAATGGCTTGGCGACTTGGCCAATAATGTATTGTACGTTATACTGAATCATAGGGTGTAAATAACCACATTCAATTAAAATAAATAACTTTTTAGATCAAAGTTTTACTTTAAAATATTTCTGGTTTTATACTATACAATTTTAAATTACAAATTAACTTCTTGGAAACAGAGAAGTATTCAATCGAATAGAGATGTGTTACCAATGTTATACGTCAAATTGAAATTTGTGTCAGATTAAAATTTCATTACAGTAACCGAGTTTAATTAGGATTAGTGTGAACCCCCTATGATAATGTAAGGGCAGTTATTGGTGGGACTTTAATGCAAAAATTTTAATTCGACGTGTAACAAAGATTATACGGATACTATATAAATTTTAATTATACGACTTTTAATTTTGTAGTTAACGTTAGTATCATTGGCCATTATTAGACGGCTGATCAGACTATCAGCCAGCTAAGCAGCTAACTTAATCAGTTTGGAACACTACATCTAATTAAAGACGAAAAATTAGTCGCTTAAGATCGAACTCATTTCAGGTATGATAATTATTCACGTGATTAAAATACATGGTACACAGGTTTCGAACAAGCAATGCGAACAGCCCGGGTATCTGGATTATAGTTAAAAACTTTTATGAAATATCTATTTAGCATATTTAATCTTTGAAATAATATCCAACTAAGCTAGCTTAGTCATATCAAAAATCATCGCTTCAGCTAAGCTCATCCATCCACTAGCGTAATAGCTTGTATTTATATATTTTTGCATTAGAATATTAGTAGTTATATAGTATTATTATAAATTAGTTCAATATTTTATTAACACTAATTAACACTAATTGGCTGGAACGAAGTGAAAGTATTTCAACTCATACTCTACGAAATTTCGTGATGCTGTCACAGATCTTAAACATAATTATTGCCCTATTATAAAGAAACTTTTTCTTTGGCTATATTAAAAGGTTTTCACTAGACAATGAATGGTATAGATCCGGTAATATAACAATATTATTATTATTATTATATATGTAAAAATATATTATGCACACCATAAGAAAAGTATTCTCCCTACCTTAAATTATCTGATTTGAAAATAAAATCATGAGTTTTAATCACCACTAAAGTTTATAAAATTTATAATAGTGATTAAAACTCATTATCTAACTCGAAGTAGGGAGTGTATTTAATACAGTATTTTATTCCAAAATGTAAGACCTAAGAATTAGGGCTCCAGGTTTCCGTTTTCTGGTTCATAGTCCACTCGTTACTTTAGGGGAGTGTCAATTTTTGACTGAGGTTTCGGAGATAACTTTCTCAGCCTTGATGAAACGTTTTAGTTCGATTTTCGTCATCAGATAAGAATAATTTCATATATCGTTAATATTAATGGACATAACTTATGTCCAATTGAAATCGTGATGCAATTTCTTGTCCAATCTCCCAACGTTACTCTGAGTCTGAGTCCTAGCATCTAAAATAGCAAATTAGCTAGCAGCAATTGTCCTGTGCTAAGATGCGAAATTTGCTACTTTTGCACTAAACATGTGATCATCAACGTTCTTGAACATGACCGGAGAACTCACTGAAATGATAGATGAAGAACTCACAGAAAAAAATACGATTACATTAAATTTTATAATAAGCTATTTTGCTATTTTGCTAATTTCGCTAGCTATTTTTGCTAACTATTTTTGCAATCAACGTTCGAGGGCCCTGGTCAGAGTGTTTAGCTATTTCTAACATATTTCGACAACCACATAACCAAATTCAGTAAATTTTGCAAAAACAAATTCGGCCGAATTTGGTATGTTTGTATTCCATTTTCTACGTATAGCTGTTCTTTAAATGCATTCTCTCTAAGGGTGGCGCACTTGCCGAATTCACAATCCGCAGAATCCGCAGTTAAATAAAGTATTTTTATTGGCTCACTTTTATTGACGATTTGAATCTGCAGGCGTAACTTATTGTTGTTCAGATTGTCTTATAGCTGTTCTCGGGGCAACTGATAAATTGACCGATGATCGCTCAGATGAATAATAAGGTTTAATTTGGTATTACCGTTATTGGAAGCTTATTTCAATACGTACCCATATGTATAATAAGCTTGCCAATTTAAGAAATAACTAACGCTAAAACTTTGTTGAATTTTTCAACCAACTTTATGCGTAAAGATCCATAGTCTAACCTATTCAGAACCTTTTTTTTTTACATTTTAAGTGAAGTCCGCCGAATGACAAAAATAGTCTTTACCATAAATATTTACAAAACCAAATAAAAAAAGCTTATGTTCCTGATGTGCAGTTTTAGTTCCAATAATAAAAATAATAATAGTGAAAAAAACAATGGATGATGCAAGCGCTCATTATTATGCTTTTAAAGAAAGATAATAATTTTTTAGATTTTTTTTTTTTTATGATAAATAAAATTCGTCCATTACTAATATATATAGTACTGTTTATGCTTGCCCGGGTCGTACTTCTTATCACCCATTTAATAAGAGGAATTTTGTGACCATTTATAATAACCTAATATATATTTAAAAAGAAATAAAGTGCCATGAAATTATTCTACGTATCAATACACACCGAATATGCTAAAATCAAAAACTTGGCCGAATGTTTATCGGTCAATTATTCCAAAATCTACGAGAACAGCTATAAGTCAAATCAAAAATTCCTATTAAATAATTAATAGTACTGGCAGGATCAACGTCAAAAATCCGTCGTACGTACGTACAATCAGGTCTTTTGACTCTCATCTAGCATACTTATTTGGATTAGATAATTATGTTATATCTGCGAGGGTTGATAACAGATATAGCTTGAAAATCTTTATTAAATGAGAGGTTGATATTATCGAGGGTCGAATGTATGTGGGCGTTATTTTGAAACTAACTACTAACATAGCGCATTGAATAAAAGATCCAAGTCCTAAGCAAGGTGCTTAAAAACTTGTATAAGTATCTTGATCGGCGACGGGTATTTTGCGTGGGTATAATACGCATGACAATAATAAATCCTTGGTGAAAAAAATAAGTGACGCATTTCAAAAATAAATAGGATTTTTTCAATAACATTTTTACTATGTTGAATTATAAATCGGAAAAATAAAATAAGATTCTCTGATTTTAACTTTGAAACCCCTAATGCGCCGAATTTGACTTTTGGCAAGTTTTACCTGCTTAACGAAAAAGCAAAATACAGTCAGTCAGTCCTCTCTAAATGCAACCCCCCTAAATGCAATACTTCTCTAAATGCACCTTTAAAACTCGTCCAAACATATACCGGATCTTCATAAATGCAATTTTTCTTATTGTTCTCTAAATGCAAGCTATCGAAAGCTTAGTCCCTTCGAGTTGCATTTAGAGAAGTTTGGCTGTATGTATAGAGAAAATCCTTTATACAGTCAACAACCCTCTTAAATGCAAATCTTTCTAATGCAACCTTTAGCTCTCGTCCAAACATATATCAGACCTTAATAAATGCAATTTTTCTTAGTGTTCTCTAAATGCAAACTGTCAAAAGTCTGATCCTTTCAAGTTGTGTGAGGAGAGGTTTTTTCCTTTGATTTTGCCCACCAAAATTTATTTTGATTAAAAATCAACTTTTGAGACGACCACCTTTGCTAAAGACGCTTTAAAAAAAAAAAGCACACATACTGATGAATACAGTAAGACTCTTGTTGTTTCCGTACAAGGATCAATTGTGCGAATCATTCCTCAAAGCAATACTAACCTTTTGCTGAAACGTGGTGATGAGGAAAAGTTCCACACCGTTGCCGCATATTATATTCAATATAATAGAAGTGAAGCATAATGTTAAACAAAGGAGTAAAAAAATTAACAATTGTATAAAAATATAATATTTTTAATCAAATTTATTTATATTAATTTGATCTACGTGTATCATTTTAAATTTTGAGAACATTATACGTAGTTAATAAATTTGTTCTCATGAGAACATTAATTCCAAATCGAATTTCCTTAATTTTACAGGATACGTATATTAAATTTGAAGATAACGTTACTAGACCATTCTGTACAGAGGTTGATTTCGATATTCGAGACTTTTTAGGCGATAGCGATAGTGATAAGCGAAAACGCCGTTTGTTATTGTCACTAGTGATGGTCAACCTATAGACACCGTATCGGTTCAAAGCATAATAATTATTATTATTACAGTCTAACCTCGATATAATCACTAGCTTGGGAAACAAGAATCTAGTGATTATAAAAAGTTGTGACTATATAAATTTGCATGTTTTATATTAGCTTGAGTTAAGGTTGTGACTATATCAAGAGTGACTATAACGAGGTTAGACTGTATTATTTTCTTATTATTATTGACTTATAAGTTCTTTTCCTGTACCTTATTAATTTTATCAAAGAATTCTTCAAACCAGTCTTTTATATTATTAACTAGTTTGTTACTTTTAATGATGTAAACTTAATACTGTATCATATGTGATTAATAAAGATTAATTAAGACAAGAAAATTTTTGCAATATTTCATAAATAATTAAATTATTGAAAATTTTTCAACGTAAATTTCTCTAAAAATGATAACTAATTTATAAATAAATATCAAAATTTGGATCATAAAAATTTAAAGACTGTATTCCATACAGTACGTATAAATTATCTATTCATATTTTAATGCTAGTTTTCATCATCCGTTCAAGCCAACACTGAATTACTCCTAACAAGTTATGCAGAGCGTAGAGCATAAGTTCTTTGATTAATTAAAAAAAAAAACTATAATTGACTATCATTGAACTCTTTGTAAGTATGTGGGTCTTTGCAGTAGAAGGTCATTTTGACGTAGAGATGATTGATCCGGGTTGATCAGGTTAAAGATAACAGGTGACTAACGGGTAATCTCATGATGTTTTGCCTTAGGCAGCCTCGTGCAAATTTTATCCCGATTTTTTATTATGCCAATAGATTTTTATTTATACAGTATAATAATTGAAAAATGTTAACCACATCGAAATCTATCTACCTGAATTCAATAAAAACTCAATTCTCGTTTTGGGCAGTCTCTGCCCTTTCTATTGCAAAGATTTCATATACCGGGTTGGTTAAAAGTCCTTAAACAGGACCTTTTTGCTATCCTGATAATAATAAGCTTTTCATAAATCTACATTGTATTTATAATACGTCATTTAGTGGTTAACACTTTTCACTTACTTGGGTATATAACGTTTAATATTAGCAGAGGTAGCAAAAAAGATCCTGCTTAGGAACTTTTAACCAACCCGGTATAAAATTAAGCTTTTTTGAAATGTTACCGCAGAATCGGCAACGTAGTCACGGCAAAATTTATCAGAATCCTGGGCACGTACGTAGCTGGAGTAGCTAAATTTTCTTATGATGTATAATAAGAGGGTAGCTACCTATAACCCTAGCGCTACCGAAAAAAGGGGTGCATTTTTGTGTAATCATGATATCATTGGTTAAAAATCGGTTAATAAATACTCTGACGAAATGCGGCTTAACTTTTCTTCGTTGAAATGTCATCTAATAAAAATAAAAGTGAAAAATCATCAATCCTTACAATTGAATGTATTGATGAAATCATTCAACATTTGCTTAATGACAAAAACACATTATATTCCTTTTTATTAGCTAACCGTTATTTTTGCAGAAAAGTTGTTCCATTATTGTGGAGTAAACCGTTTTCTCTATTGATACATCCTTCAAAAACATTAGTAAGAATTTTTGTATTATGTCTCAACATAAAGGAAAAGAGCATTTTATTCAATAATATCCTTAAAGTTAAGGATGGAAAAATTGAAGAATATTCTGCTTTATTTGATTATCCCGCATTGATTAGAGAATTGGATTTTTGGGGATTATTTGAATGTGTAAGAATTTGGATACAAGACATTCGATTTAAGTACTCCAACACGGGATCATGGATAAATGATACAATTTATTATCTAATTAGAGTTCTCATCAGGCGTGGTCAGAATATCAAATATTTGCACTTGGTTAACAACGACAAGATTATTGAAATTCCACCTATAACTTGTTTACCTAAAGCTGATGTAGCATTTTCGAAACTTCAATATCTCTATTGTGGTGGTTACCATGCAGATGTAAAGCTATATCCTAAATTAGTCAAATATTGTAAAGATATAATCGAAATAAATATTGTACATTATCATAAATCATCTGATTCAAGTTTGGCCGCTTTAATTAAATCACAACGTAGATTAAAAAAGATAACCTATCGTTCGGTTTCTGGAGGTACATGGCGATTGGTAGCTGCTCTATCTCAAACTCATTTTCTTAAATCTGTAAATTTTACTTGTACAGATTTTACCGATGCTTCTTCAAAAGGTTTGGCTACTTGTGATAATTTGGAAGTGTTAGAATTACTTGATTGTCGAGGAAATAATTATGAAAAATTTTGGAAACCAATTATTGAAAGATCAAAATTTCGTTTAAAAAGACTTTCTTTAGCACGTACTTCTATTGATCAGGAAGCAATTGAAATACTTATTCAAAATGCTGGTGAAATGCTCGAGGAAGTAACCGTTGATTATATTGTCATCTCAATGATGCCTTATTTTCTGGAAATGTTGATTAAAAACTGTCCAAATATAATTTATCTCAAACTTTTCCTTTGTCACCTTGAAGAGGTTTCCATGCTATTTTCCACCATTTCAAATGCTTTTAAACTCAAACAACTTGTCATTAGGACTTCTAATATGGATGTTACATCAATTTTACCTGGATTAGCAACACTGGTTCCGTCTTCGCTTCGTTTGCTTGATATTGACATGATGATTTCATCAGAGGCTTTGCAAGAATTTTTAAATGAATGTAAAGCTCCAATCCAACGAATTATTTTGAACGCTGGTAATGCAATAACTGATGATCATATAGTGGTTCTTACTCAATATGCAAAGGAAAGAGGATGTTTAAAGTCATTAGGGTATACTTATAGGACATTAAATTGGGGTTTGCCTTATTGTATTTCTCAAGAAATTGAAAATAAGGCTAAAGAATTAATCTCTTTTTATAATCCAGAAGATCCTGCTGATTTTCTATTCCCATTAGATAGAAATGATGAATTATTAGCAACTGATACTTGGAGCTAAAAAATAAATGAAATGAATGATGTCAGCAGTTGTATATACAGTATACCAGATGTCCGAAAAATAGTAAACGAAAAAGTTGTTCGATACAGTGCAAATTATCATCAAGAGAATTGTCGGTCAAAATAACAAGGATCATTTTGAATTTTTGAACGATTGGAAATTATTTCATTATATGTTACAAATTTCACAAGGCACATTATTAACCAGTTTACGAAAACTTGATGCGATTATGCACGCACAAGAACAGCTTTAATCATATGCAACAGACCTTTAATCGTTTTGTTTCGTGTTAGACAATGTTTGGTTATTAATTAATTTGATGGCCAGTCTTGCTGTGGGCAATATTTCTCCACAACAAAATTTCACTGCGACCAAAGTTTGTGGTTGTAATTAGGGATTGGAACCGTTTAGCATAAACAATTTTTATAGTGCCGGGCCGAATTATGTTTATCACGGGCCAGGACAATTTTAATGCCGGCTGAATTAAACGGTTAATACGATTAAGAAAATTTTAAACGGTTCCAATCCTTAGTTGTAGTTCGCTGAGATCAAAGCTTTGATAAAGGTCTCTGATGTTAAATTCTCCACGATCAAGATCCGCCATGGTTAAATTTTGCAATAACTAAAAAGAGCAATAATCCTTGTTTCAAAATTTTTAAATTCTTTTTTTTTTTTTTGCAAAAGTTGTTATAAATAAAGTAGATTTATCTAAGAAATATATTTAGACACATATAATTATTGTGTAATATATTATAAAAATTTTACTTTATATTATAATTTGGGTATTAGTAATAAAGCAAGCTGCAAAGTACGATTTTATTATATTAACATATTTATAAAAATAAAAATTTTTCTTTATTAATACTTTTAGTATTTAACTAAACTATATTTTTGGTTTTATTTATATTTGTAAGATTCGTGAGAATCGGGCCAGAACTACTCAAGGAATAAATTTTAATTGTTTTTCTTTTGTGTTAATTAACTTTTATTTTTACATTTAGGGGAAAAGAAGCAACTTTTATACATTTGGTTGACCCAAGAATAAATAAATAAATTAGTTGCGCGAAGCAAATGTAAATATTAATAAGTAATAATCTTAGATCTTATTTTCCCAGGAGCATAATCTGTAACTTAGGGGTTGCATATAAGTGTAAATATAAATAAAATAATAAATAAAATAAAACGATCGTAACGTTAGATACGATCGTTACGTTAGTATAAATAATAGGGCCAGAATTTAGTAACGATCGTTCCGACTGCTTGTCCACGTGATACGATATACGATCGTGATCTAAAAAAAAGAAAATCGGTTAATGTATTATTATTTAGTTAGTTAAATATTATTATTATATTATATATGACAATTCTTTTTTTTTTTTTTTTTTTTTAACTTCGGCTAAGTCTTGCCGTGACCAACTATCCCTACTAACCACCCCTCTACAGGGGGGCGACCACAAATCAAGTATTTCTACCATTATGAGTACATTCAGAATAGGCCCGACCCTACCCGGTTGCCTATTCAGGTACCTAGGACCGACCGCCTGCACCGTCCTCCAGAGAGATTGGATTACCTTATTATTGTACTGGACTTTCACCAGCCAATCTGGTGTTGCCATGAGTTCTTGTAGTATCTTTATCAGACTTGGTCTCACTTTACGTCTTGTGACTTCGGTTATTCCAAATCGGGGTTCTAACACACAGCCACAACTTCTCGGAATAACTATTCCCTGAATACGTCTATCTGTAGATATCCCAGGTTCCCTGTACCCCACAGTGTTTCACTTCTATTTTTGAATTTTCATTAATCTGCTGTTGGAAGGAATTGAACCGGCAACTATCCAATTTGCAACCTGGAAGCATAACCACTATGCTATCAACCCACAGGTCTATATATGACAATTCAAAGTTTTTTTTTTTTTTTTGTATTATTTATAATACTTAATACTTTTCCTAAATTATATTATACTTATTTAATTACTTATACTGTATTATATAAATTAAATATTCACCTCTTTTATGCTTTTTTTTTAATTTATACAAATTTGTATAAAAAAATTTGCATAATATATAACTTATATAATATAATATATAAAGTATAGTGACTTAACATAGTAGTAGTGAGATACCAAGTTCAAATCCTATTGAAGATTGTAGGGTTTTATATGGATCCGAGATATTTAAGAAAAAATAGATTTTTAATTTTCAGTAAATTGGTTAAAATTGGCCAAACCCCAGTTATAACCTATATGAGAGATATCTGGTCCTGGTTTTATTACCTGTAACTCTGGTTATACTAATGTTATCTGTATACTGAAAGATTCTAAAAGCATTTGTATAACATCTAGATTGCGCAAAAAAATGAAAACTAGTATAGGTACAAATCCACGATAAGCTTTTTGAAAATATATAAAACTAATAGAGAAAACTTGAAAATCTGAAACTGGCTTGGCAAGTTCCAAATAGGGGTTGTTTAAAGTTTAACACCTTACAAATTTCTTGATCATTAATAATCACAAAACATATCTAATCAAATTAAAGTTTTTTTTTAAACTTCTAATAAAGTTTTTTCATAACTAATTAAACTAATGTTTGGAGAATTAAAATAAAAAAATTTATTGAATTTGGTTTTATATTTGTTAAGAAATCTCTAGTAAACCTTTGAACATCTTAAAAAAAAGCTAAAATTGGATAATTTTTTAAAAAAATTTTAATTGAAGGTTTCTTGGCACCTATGTATCAAATTTGATTAAAATTTTTATTTTAATTCCATGAAACTATATAATTAAAATAAATAAATTTGATCAAATTTGATCAGGTAAGTGTTGAGTAATTTTTATTTAAAGTTAAAAAATTTGTTATAGTTTTTATTTAAATTAAAATAAAAAAATTTGATAAAATTTAATCAAGCAAGTGACAAGTAATTTTTATTTAAATTTTAAGTATTTATAAAATATAAACTATAGCAAATTTTTTTTTAACTTAGAATGAAGATTAATCGACACTTATTTGGTCATGTTTAATCTTTTTTTTATTTTAATCAAAATTCTTTTGTTTTAATTCTACAAATCGATAGAATTAAAATAAAAAAATTTTAATCAAATTTGATCAGGTTAATGTGAGTAATCTCATTAAAAGAAATTTGGCACAGTTTATATTTTGTAGATACTTAAAATTTAGACAAAAATTACTTATCTGTTATCACTTGCCTGATTAAATTCTATTAATTTAATTTTATTGATTCATAAAATTAAAATAAAAAATTTGATCAAATTTTATTAGAAAAGCATCAAGCAATCTTCTTTTAAAGTTTTAAGTATCTATAAAATAAAAACTGTAGCAAATTTTTTTTTAACTTTAAATAAAGATTACTGTATAAGCACCTAAATAAGTCATTAATTTTATAAAATGTGATAATTTCAATAGTTTTAAATGAAAAATATATTTATAAGATTACTATATTAAATAATAAACATTTTAAATAAAAAAATACATAATCGCAATAATTTATAATTCTAGATTAATAATATTAATAATTTGAAATTATTAAATTTACACGTGAAATATTATTATGAGCCATCAGAAATTGAAAAATCGAGTGTACCGGTAGTAGAATCTAAAATTAAAAGTAAAGGTTTTATCAGTTAAAATTAAAATTACTGTCGTGTTTGAAATTGCAAATTCAAGCGCCCGAAATTCAATCTGCCTAAAATTATTACGTAACAAATGCAGAAGATCTAATTTCAGGGATTATTTCAGTCAGTGCAACTCCAAGCGTCCGAATTTCAAGATAACATTATAATAAGTGAATTATTTACCACAAATTTTCATCAATTTTGCAGGTGAAATAAATGAGGAATTAATTGGATCCGAAAGGTTTTTGAAGTTAAGCAACTTACTTGTTAGCTTATCTTCAGGACGAATTGGCAATTCGGCTGATAATGTTGGAATAATTACATCAGCAGATTGGAATGCTTTTAATATTGCTAATTCATTTTTATCTTTTGCAGCACTAGAATTAACTATTTTATACCATCTCGACAATTCATCATAAATATCACGTGCAGATGGTCTATTCGAAAGATTAGCATCCATACATTGATTGGCTAATTGGATATAGCATTCAGGAGTGCCTTTAGCAAATTCAGGACGTAACCCACTGCATATTTGAATAGCCAGACTTTCATCATACTCAACATCATAATGAGGTGGTCTTCCTGTAGACATTTCAGTCATAATAACGCCAAAACTATAGATATCTGCTGTAATTGTATATGATCGTTTATTTAACACCTCCGGTGCAACATAAGGCAAAACACCGTAAATACTATCTTCTAAGCCAAATTCATCATTTTTTCTAGATAATCCTAGATCTGCAATGTAAGATATTAGACCACTGTTAATGTATTGATTTTGCAATATGTTACCGCTATGAAGATCTCCGTGAACATATTTTGCTTCGTGTATTTTTATTAAATTTTCTGATATATCAACAAAGTTGCTTTAATTTACTTTTCCAGTTAAGTTCTTTAAAATTTGATAATAAGAACTTATGAAGACTTCCTTTATTTGCATATTGAAATACCATCAAATATTCATCGTTATCTGTATTCTGAGTTAGCCCATACACCTCGAGATTACAACCAATAAATCTAAATTCTGCATAACTTTTAAACTTGTCAAATAAATTAATTTATGACGTTAGTAGTTTGTCTTCATTAAGTCAGAAATAAATCATTTTAACTTACTTCTTTTAAAAAATTCTTTTGCGAACCAGGTAATGTCTTAAGTGCAACTATACATGATATACGCGATTGTGTAGATTTACTTAAAGTTCTTTTACCGTCTAACCATGTTGCTGAATATACTGAACCGAATCCCCCTTCACCAATCTTCTGAACATTACTTAATCTATTAAAAGGAATCCATTCAATCATGTCTTCGTATTCTGTAGCTTTAAGTTGAAACTTTTTAATGCAATTATCGACATCTTTATTTCCACT